CACGCCTCAAGCCACCCTTCTCTTTCAGCCTTGCCACAGATGGCTAATGACGCAGACCACGCTGACTCTTCTGCGCCTGATCCTGATCCCGGACCGTCATGCAGCTCTCGCCCCATCACAGGTATGGAGTTTCTGCGCAGGGTACATCGTTCCCACGAGCACGCCGGCGACCAGCAAGATGGCGGTGGTGACTACCGGGGAGGCGACGAGTGGTATCCTCGGGATGGACCGGACGACGACGAGCATTCCGATGGGGTCGAGGTGTGGGTTCGCTCGCCACGCCAAGAAGATGAAGACCACGACGGACAGAACGAGGTGTGCGATGGATCGCACCACCCAAGCATCGCTGAACCGGCCGAGACAGCACCAACACAGGTCGTGGATGCGTCTGTTCCAGACTCGACCGCCTCACAGACGCCGAAGAAGCGGCGCTTCACGCAGTCCGTGCTCGGGATTGGTCTGCAGCCCGTTAAGCCTGCACCGACTCCGCCGCCACCTACCAAGAAAACAACACCTGTAGTCCGACTCACCGCAGAGGAGAAGAAGGAGAAGTTGTATTTGAAGGCCCAGAAAAGCTACTTGTCGGAATGGCTTCCGCGGTTCCCATGGTTAATCCTTGATAAATCGACTGACGGTTTCCCTTGTGTTCGTTGCAGTGTCTGTAAAGAGCACGGGAAGGACGATGCTCGCTATGGCCGCAATGGGAAAGGAGGTTCGGACCTCCAGATTGGGTCCTTTCGCTGGCACGAGGAGAGCGTGAAGCACAACGATGCCATGAAGAAGCAAATGGGTCTGATAAAGAACATCAAGGAGCAGAAACGCATCGATGACTTTGCGAAGGGCGATCCGGAGGGCGCGCGGATTTCGCGGATAATGCGGAGCATCGTGTTTGTATGCAAGACGGACACACCGATTAAGATGTACCCCAGGCTCGTGCAGTTTCTTGCTGAGGAGGGCGTCGCCAACATACCTCGACAGTCTTACGGCGGGTACATCACACGGTGAGTCTCACTTGATGTTGAACTCCGTACTCCTTGATTTTCCTTTTTTTTTTCAATATGCACTAACAACGAACCGTTGGTAGTGGCCAGGTACGGCTTTTCGGAAATGGTAAAGGCTTTAACCACTTTCCTTCACCGCGAGCAAATGCGACACGTGCACGCGTCGCCATACATTGGCATCATGTGCGACAAGAGCACAGACCGCGCTCGTGGCAAACACATGATTGTGTTTGTCACTTTCCTGAAGGACCGCGTGGTGGTAACGGAGTTCTTGACGCTCCTTACCGTCACTCAATGTGACGCGGCGTCGCTGCATGCCGTTCTGCTCCAACATCTGGAGACCATCGGCATCGACCTTCAGAAAATTGTTGGGATGTCAGCAGACGGCGCCTCTGTCATGGTCGGATCGGAAACTGGGCTTGTGACGCGCCTTCGCATGCAGATTGCGCATCTCGTCGGGTGCCACTGCATCGCGCACAGGTGTGTTATCATTCCAAAATGTTTTTGGTATTTTAACACGGTAAAACATCTCTCTGGGTCTATGTGATTTTCTTTTTGTGTTTTACATATCCTACTCTGCAACCCCCTGTTCCCTGCCGTGCAGAGAAGCGTTAGCTGTCAAGAATGCAGCAGAGGCCTATCCAGACTTCAACATCGTGGACGACGCCATCAGGGCCCTCGGGTCGATCGTCGGGAAGTCAACTCCCTGGTATGAGCGGTTCAAGGAGTTGCAGCAGGTGTACCACAAGACCAATCTGGAGCACCAGGGGCTCCACAACGTGCGCTGGCTGGCACGGGGCGAGGCAGTGCTGCGGATGTGCCGGGTTCTTGGGGCGGCGATCTGCGTCTTCATCGAGTACGAGCACAAGATAGCCAGCACCGTGCAGACGTTGAAGTTTCACTTTTGCCTTCATTTTCTGGCAAACATCTTGGCCGAGCTCAACAATCTGAACCGCTTTTTCCAGAGGCGAAAGGTACTGTTATGCAGTATTATCTCGACGTTGTTTCCCACTTCTGCATGGTGGTTTACACGTTTGTTTACTCTGTAATGTGAACTTATTATGTTTGGCTGTATTATCTCAAACCCTCCCGCCCTCCGCCCAGGTGGACGTCACAATCGTGGCGCAGGAGGTGGACCGCACGGTGTCGTACATCCAACATCGCTACATCGACTACGAGACGAAGTTCGGGGAGGGCCTTAGCCCACAGCTGTCGCCTTTCCTGGAGCGCCACAAGGATGGCAAGCGTGAGGTGAAAGTGGAAGGCGTGGACTCCAACGGCCGCGCAGTGAGCCAGGAGATTGTTCTAAGCGAGGAGCCCATCGCTGGCCACAAGTTTGGCGGAACAATGCGCGACTGCGAGAAGATGTGCAAGGCATTCGCCAAGCAGACCGTCCATAATCTCACAGAGCGGATGGCGGATCTTCGTCGCATGGGCGGGACGAGGCTGTTCAAGGTGGAATCGTGGCCCCCCAACCTCGACACACGCGAGCGGCGCTGCCTCATGTGGCTTCGGCAAAACTGTGTGCTGTTCAACAACTGTCTGCGCGGTGAGAATCTAGAACACTTTGTGAGTTGCGCATGTCTGGTGTTGTTTGGCTAAGCTCTGCTATCAGTAAAAAATTTCAGTTTAAAACCCAAATTTGTTCCTGCGCGCAGGTTTCGACTTGCGGACGGCAGAGCTCGAGCTGAAGACGTTCTGCCACATCCTCAAGAACCACCACGAGGACGAGGACTTTTATCAGGGGCTCCAAAACGTACTGAAGACGCGCGACTGGGCTCGCACGTACCCCAACCTGATGCTGATGTGGCAGGCGTTGTCCGTGCTACCGCTCAACACTGTTGAGTGCGAACGTGGGTTCAGCAGGCAGAACGTCATCAAGAGCTGGATACGCACGTCACTCAACGACGCTCGTCTGACAGAGCTGATGAGCATCCACATGCTCCAGTATGACTTCGTGTGGCATGAAGTCGTCGACATCTGGCGCAATCAGAAGAAGCGTCGCCCCGCCAAGAAACCTGCGCACGGCGCACCAGTTTGCGCAAGGGGGAAGGCGAAGATCGAGTCTGATGCGGAATCGGAGGGCGAGGATGACTACTACTAGTGTAGCCCAAGGGCCTCCTCTTTATTAGTTAGTTAGTATCCCTAAACCCTATATTACATTCCATTATTAAATACATTCGTGACTGAACTGACTGAACCGTGTGAGTGACATCAAAACGCAAAACAGTTGGAAAAACAATACTCCCATTCCATACTTCTCACACAACATTTTACACTACGATCAGAGTACAAAAAAAAATTTACTCTGACGTGCCAGGGTTTTTAATCCACGTAATAGGGTTACTCTGTCAGCTCAGAGTAAGGCGTAGGAACCACTCTGGATTTCAGAGTTCGCATAAAAAGTACTCTGAAAACCAGAGTACCGAAAAACCAAAAGAAGGCCCTGGTTGTACGGGGTATGGTAATGCTGATAGCCGAAATTGCATTAGTAAGGGTGCATTCCTGGTTGGTGGCAGGGCAACTGTTCACATCGAGTTGGTGGCAAGTGTACCCAAAAATTCAGTGGGCCGGAAAATGCGCTTGCCACCAACAGTTGCCCTGCCACCAACTCAGGAATGCACCCTAAGAGTACCGGTAGCAGTGATGGGATTGGGACACCACTTCTAGTAATGATAATAATATAACTGGTAATGAGGTAGCGTCAACTACAATAATATGAATCTGTACAGAAACACAGGCTTCAGAACCAGATAAAATCTGGTGAGAACCAAGTCGTCTCATGGCTCGCGGTTTTGAGGCGCCTCAAAAAAATTATGTCAGCCTGTGTACCGTCGGTGTAGCTCCGGCCCCCTCAGGTCCAGGCTGCTAGGTGCTCACATCTCTACTCCAGTGTCTATTCGCACCAGTTGAGTGCTCTCCGCCGATCCGCTGCTGCTGACTGAACGGAGGGGGAGGCGTGAGTGCGGTGGGGGACGCGTAACTCACTCTCAGGGTACATTCCGCTCTGGACATGTCCCAATCGTACATGTCCCAATCGGGTGTACCGCTCCGAACCGAACTAAACCAGAGACGCGAAAATTTTGACAATGTTAGAAACTAGGGTGTAATTCGGTGTAATAAGATGCAGTGCGGTGGAATTGATTGGGAGATGTACAATTGGGACATGTCCAGAGCGGAATGTAGCCTCAGTCAATGCGAGACTGTTGCATGCTCACATCTCTACTCCAGTGTCAATTCGCGCCAGTTGAGTGCTCTCCGCCGATCCGCTGCTGCTCACAGAGCAATGGGGGAGGGGCCGGGCAGCAGCAGAGTGTGTGCGGCGAAGCATTCTGGTGAGAGTGTGCCTGCCGCTGCTGCTAGTGGTGGTGGTGCTGGTGGGAAGAGTAGGATGGAACAGTGCATGCATGTGTGACTGTAAAGGGTGTGTCAGTAGATGGTGTGGCTGTGCAGGGTGTGACTGAAACGGTGGTGGCTGAATCTCCAGCACAATAACCGAGATATCGTCGTGGATCTTCCTGCGCTGGGTGCCGAGGGGGAGAGAGGAGAGGGCGGAGGGGTGGGAGCCTGTGTGCTCTGCAGCCCTCTCGAGAGCCTCCCTCACCAACCCCTCGGCAATGTTTCCACTGCTGCTGTCAGTGCCATTGCTCGTGGCATTGCGTTGGGTGCCCAGGGGGAGAAAGGAGAGGGCGGAGGGGTGGGAGCCTGTGCGCTCTGCAGCCCTCTCAATAGCTTCTCTCACCAACCCCTCTGCAATGTTTCCACTGCCGTTGCTGCTGTTGCTGTTGTTGTTGCTGCTGCTGCTCGTGCTTTGAGTTACCGCAGGCGGTTTTCGAGAGCTCTCACTGGCCATCTTAAGAGCTTCTTTCACCAGCCCCCCTGCTATGTTGTTGCTGCTGCTCCTTGTAAATTGGTTGTCTGTTACTGCTGTTTCCGTTACTGCCCCTGCCCCTGATGGTGCTGACGCTGCACCTGCACCTGCTGCTGCTGCTGCTCCTGTTACTCTTGCTGCCCCTGCCGCCCCTGCTCCTCCTGCTGCTCCTGCACCTCCTCCCCCACGTCCTCTCTCTTCCCCCACCCCTGTCTCAACCCACTTCTTACTGCCAATCCGAAAGCTTCCCCCCAAAGACATCCCTCTGGTCAGCCTACGAGCTCCCGAACCTCCATGTGCTGAACCTAAAATTCCCGAACCTCCATGTGCCGAACCAGCTGCGACTGGCTGGAGGAAGAAACTGGCTAGGGTGGGGCCGAGGCAGTGGGAAACGTCCTTGGTTTGCATGTGCTGATACAGACCGTCGGATGAGAGGATGAGGAGCCGATCCGACGGTGAGATTCGCACGTGGCGGAGGTGCGGCAAGGAGGAGAGGTATGGTTCCGAAGCTGAAGCTGAGGCTTGGTACTTGACTCGGAACATGCCCAGCAGGGCATCGTTGATTGTTTGCTGCAGTGAGGGGCGATAGGGAGGTGAGAAAAGAGGGGAGGAAGTGGGTGGGGTGATGTGTGTAGGGTAGGGAAGGGCAGGGAAGGGCAGGGAGAAAAGGGCAGGACAAGGAATGGCAGGGCAGGGCAAGCTCTAAAAGGTAAGCACTCACGTCCTTGAGGTAAGCACTCACGTCCTTGAGGTAAGCACTCACGTCCTTGAGGTAAGCACTCACGTCCTTGAGGTAAGCACTCACGTCCTTGAGGTAAGCACTCACTTCCTTGAGGTAAGCACTCACGTCCTTGAGGTAAGCACTCACGTCCTTGAGGTAAGCACTCACGTCCTTGAGGTAAGCACTCACGTCCTTGAGGTAAGCACTCACGTCCTTGAGGTAAGCACTCACGTCCTTGAGGTAAGCACTCACGTCCTTGAGGTAAGCACTCACGTCCTTGAGGTAAGCACTCACGTCCTTGAGGTAAGCACTCACGTCCTTGAGGTAAGCACTCACGTCCTTGAGGTAAGCACTCACGTCCTTGAGGTAAGCACTCACGTCCTTGAGGTAAGCACTCACGTCCTTGAGGTAAGCACTCACGTCCTTGAGGTAAGCACTCACGTCCTTGAGGTAAGCACTCACGTCCTTGAGGTACGCACTCACGTCCTTGAGGTAAGCACTCACGTCCTTGAGGTAAGCACTCACGTCCTTGAGGTAAGCACTCACGTCCTTGAGGTAAGCACTCACGTCCTTGAGGTAAGCACTCACGTCCTTGAGGTAAGCACTCACGTCCTTGAGGTACGCACTCACGTCCTTGAGGTAAGCACTCACGTCCTTGAGGTAAGCACTCACGTCCTTGAGGTAAGCACTCACGTCCTTGAGGTAAGCACTCACGTCCTTGAGGTACGCTGCACCAAAGGCGCGTGTGAGCTTGATCTTGCCCTTTAGACGCCCCCTCCTGATGACGTCACTGTCTGCATGTGCCTGCTGCACCCGCCGCACCTCCTGTAGTTTGCATGGGGGAAGGGGTGCGAGGGGTGTTGCTCGTTACAGGTATTGCATGGTATAAATTACTGTTAGCCTGTCGTGTTTGTGGCCTAACGGGAGGCAGGTTGTACCTCTTTGTTGTGAGCTCATTTCCATGGCGTTCATTTCCATGGCGTTCATTTCCAGGGCCCCAAAGTGGCAACTCACAGCAGCATCAGTTGTGCCGTGAAGTGTCTGGAACTTTTGAGGCGCCTCAAAATTTGCGAAGTCGACTCATCATGTTCCTGTGAGTCGACTTAAAACGGAACTTCATAAGAGTCACTTGGGGGAAGAGAGGTAGGTCTCCCACTGTCATTACTCGAAAGGAGAAATGCGAGGAGGGGAGGAGGGTGATAGAAGAAGAGAGAGGACTCACAGCAGCATTGCTCGTGTTGTGGTCCCCTGTCAGTCTCTCTGCCTTCTTTGTGTCAGTCTGAGAATTTCCACAAGTGAAATTTCATAGAGTGTAGACTCACAGCAGCATTGCTCGTGTAGACTCACAGCAGCATTGCTCGTGTAGACTCACAGCAGCATTGCTCGTGTAGACTCACAGCAGCATTGCTCGTGTAGACTCACAGCAGCATTGCTCGTGTTATGGTCCACTGTCAGTCTCTCTGCCTTCCACCTCCACACTCCCCCTCCTCTGCCTCCTCCCTTCTCCCCTCCTCCTGCTTCCCCTCCTCCTGCACCCCTGCTTCCCGCACTTTCCATTGCCCCAACAGCCCCACTAATCTCACCCCTCTCCCACTTCTCCCCCTTCTCCCATATATCCCCCGTTTCCCCCACTTTCTCTCTTCTGCTACTCCCTTTGCTGCTACCACTCCCCTCTCCCTCCCCTCTTCCACCACTCCCCCATCCCCCACTTCCCCCTCGCCCACGTCCCCCTTCCCCGCTTCTCCTCCTTCCGCTCACAAGGCTAGCACTCCCTCCCCCTCCCACTCCCGCCCCCTTCCTCAACACCCCCCGCCATCCCCTCCCCACCTCTTCCCCCCGTACAATCACAGCCCTACTATCCCCCAAATTTATCACATAAACATCCGTGGCTGTGACTATAGCAGCAACTAAAGACGCCCCTCCTACCGCGTACTCCGGCTGGTCTTTAGAGACGTCTTTAACTCGCGTCAGAAAGGAGGACTCGGTAGAGGCAAGGGCGCGTTCTAAGGCGCCTAAGATCATTTGGTGTCTTCTGTGGTCGTTACCTGGCTCTTGCAAGGCCTTTGGCACATGGAGAGGGTGCTGCTGCTGCTGCCGTTCCTGGTGGTGATGATGGTGCTGTTGCTGCTGCTGCTGCTGCTGCTGCTGCTGCTGCTGCTGCTGCTGCTGCGACTGTTTCTGACCATGTCCCACGACTTGTTTGATCCCCTTCCCTTCCTCCTTCCCTTCTCCATTACCTTCTCCCTCCTTCTCTCCCCTCAGCTTTCCATTCTGAGAGCCATCAGACCCTCTCTCCTGCCGCACCCCCTGTGCCTTTTCAGATGCACCCTCCTGGCCCATTCTGTGATCCTGGTTATCCCCAGGGAATGCTTCTTGGTCATCCTGGTTATCAGAAGCTTCCGACCAATCAGAGCGGCTTCGCTCCCTTGGGAATGCTTTCCTGCTCGCCCTCCCCACCTCACCCAACGTCCACCTTAGCTTACCCTTCGACTCACTCCCGCCCGTTCCCTCACACGCACCCTCCTGCTCCAATCCCTCCGTCTCTTCCGAAGCTTCTGACCAATCAGAGCGGCTTCGGTCCCTCGGGAACGCTTTCCGACTCGCCCTGCCCATCTTACGCACCATCCACCTCATCTTTCCTTTCAACTCACCCCCACCTGTACTCTCACACTCACACCCGCACTCACACGTCCCTTCTGAACCACCAGATGCCCTGTGGTTGTGGTCGTGCCCCCTCCCACTCTCGGTGCATGCTTGACAGTGCAGACCACATGTGAGGTGCTGGCCGTTTCCGTGAGATTCCTGGGAGGGCAAGCCGCCACCGCCACAACCATCCAGGTGCAGAGAATTTTCTTGAGAGTCTAGGTGCAGTGTATGCAGGCCGCACGCGTCCAGCTGGTGGCACAGTGCGGTGTAGAGGTGTGCGAGCAGGTAATCCACGGCGTTCCGCTCTGCGAAGCCGTCATACACCGCTGCAAAGACAAAGCCCCGTGAGGGTGAGACGAGCACGTGGGAGCGGTCCTCCCCTGCCATTGCCACCGCCTCTTCTTGCTCTCGCTGCCGTTGGTCTTGCTGCTCATCCTTCTGCTTCTGATCTTGTTGTTGCTGCTGCCCCTGATGCTGCTGCTGCTGCTGCTGCTGCTGCCCCTGCTGTTCCTGCTGCTTCTGTGCCATCTTCAAACCTTTCACTGATGCTCCAGCTGTAGCAGACGCAGCATTATCAGCAGCAGCAACGCTATCCATGCGCCAAGCCACCAAAGCCTCTGCAGCAATCCCCCGCCCTGCCTCGTCCCCCCTCACCCTTCCACCTCCACCTCCTTCTCCTCCTCCTGTTTCCCTCGCTATACTCACCCCCCCCTCGTCATTGTCACACCTCGATTCAGCGGGACCACCTCCGAAGCAGCACAGAAAACCACCGCCTCGGCCCGGTCGTCGCCTTCTCCCTGCGCCTTCTCCTGCCTTCTCCCCCTCCCCGTCCTCCGTTCCCCTCTCCTCACTGCCTTCTCCCGGCCTCCGCTCCTGCACCTTCCCCTGCGCCTGCTCCTGCTCCTGCGCCTGTGTCTGCGCCTGCGAATTTGCCTCCGCCTGCCCCTGCGCCTGCACCTGCTCCGCCTCCGCCTCCGCCCTGCGGAACGGGTGCGTGAGCGCGGACCAAGCGAACCCGGGGGACGATCTCAGCGGGCAGTACGGCGCGAGGCGCATTCCCCCGTCCGCCTCCCCGCTTCCGCCTGTCGTGTCGTTTCCGCCAGCCGCATCTCCGCAAGTCGGTGCATTTCCGCCAGGCGAGCGCCCATGGTCCCCCGCGAAGGGGTCGTTCGCCGCAATGCACGCGCCGTGGATCCTCACCATCGCCGTCCACCGCCGCCCGGACCTTCCGCCGCAGCCAGGCCCGCCGATTCCGGCACCAGGGCCGCCCCCCCCGCCACCGGCGCGGGCGACAGTCCCGCGCGTGACAGCAGAGGCGGCGGCGTCGTTCTCGCCTGCTTTCATTCCTTGGCTACCTAGCGGGGAGCTGCAAGCAGCGGTACGGTGGTTTCGCCGTCGTTCTGGCTGCTATGCGTAATACGCCTAATGTGGTTTAAGAAGTTGATCAGGTTAACAGCGGTGCTCCGCGATCAGCGTATTTTCGGCTGCCGCGTCGGTTACGGAACACACTGCTTTGTACTATACTGAGCGCACTTCTGTGCTAACGGAGGAAGAGTATTGCTGGATAAACGGGTTCTGACTGCTCTCCTTTGCAGGACATATCTAATTGCGAGTAATTACAGGAAGGCAGTCAGGAAAAGTCACAACCGTCCAATCAGGAAAAGTCACAACCGTTCAATCTCGCTCAGAACCCTATTTAACCGATGTAGAACAAGAGCGAACCATTTTGCCCCGCAAAGCGTTCACCCAAACCGCGATCTTCATTGTCAGAGTTTGAGTGTTGTGGTGGAGAGGTTGTCCACGATAGTTCACTGTTCACGAAAGATAGTTATGGTCGGACGAACAGTAACAAAAATTTACGAGTCAGCGAAAGTCCAGCGGTGGAGAGAGGAAGGAGACTTACTGGTCGGCGAAACGAATCCAGTGTGCTTATCCAATGTGCTTCGCACTTTATGAACAAATGGAGATCGACCACGTAAGCTGATAGTCCTCCATTTAAGGTCCGCCGGTTTATCGGTAAGATGAAGACAAGAACAATATATTTTCATACAGTTTGTGAGCATAATCTGATAGTGAAGCGACCCATGACGAGGACACAATAGAGGTGAAGTTACCCCTAGATTGCTACTGGAATCGGATGTAAAGAATTTAGGTAGAGGTTCTAGCAAGACAACTCCTGGAGGCCCTGTCGTTGTAAACAGACCCTGGTTCAAACATAGAATACTCCTAGTTTCCTGTATTTGAGGCATACACGCCACTACGAGGTATGTGTGTTTCGTCTCTAATCTTCGTCGTTAGCTTGTTCGCCAGTTATGCGTCTCCAGTCGTGAATCTGGTATCGCGTGGATCTCCGTGCGCAGCTTGCTGCATCTCTCTATGATCAACAGCATCAAGCCTTGCTTGTTACGCTTGAAAACACAAAGAAGCCAGTTTTTGCTGGCAGACTCATTTTCGACCGTTGCCATCGCAAGAATGAACCAGCCGAACCTTGAGCCGCCAGAGAAGCCGCTTCCAAGTGACTGCTGCGGTAGCGGTTGCAGCCCGTGCGTGTGGGAGACGTATTACGAGGAGCTTGAGAAATACAACGCAGCTAAAGCCAAGGCTGACGCCGAATCGAAGGGAGTGATGTGTCAAGCGCAGAAAACGGAGTCATGTACCGCTCCTGGTCAACAAAAATGACATCTAATCTTCTGCACGGTACAACAAACGCTGTTGACGTACCGTACCTCTTTTCATAGTACACTGACCTTTGCCTTGTTGAATTTTCGCTCTAATCCAGTCTGCTTCATGGACTAAAAACTAGATAAGGGTAACTCTGCACCTCTGCAACTCTGCTTGATAGATAAGGGTTTCAAAACTAGAAGCTTATGACCAAACCGTCTAACGTTTCAGAAAACCAAAGCGTTGATCCCCTCCCCTCCCCCCCACCCCTGAGCTACCACGTCCAACCGAGCCTGCCCCACTGCCTGAGCCTGTTCCGCATGTGGCTTTTAAGTCAACTCCGAAGGCACTTATTGGGTCGACTCAGAAATCCAGAGCATTGCTTCCCCCGCCTGAACTACCACATCCAACCGAGCCTCCCCTGCCACTTGAACCTGCTGCTCCCCCAGTGGCATCGATCGGGGGTGGGTGTGCCTCCTCCACCACTATCTGTCGCTTCCTGTTCACTGCTCTCAGCACCAGAGTGGTCACAGCTGGCATGCGAGGCACCTGACAGGGGACGAGAAGAAGACATACCGTAAAAGAAAGCAAGAAAAGTGAGACATGGATTCAGAGCTTGCTGTTCCCCCTGGAGCATCGATGGGGGGTGGGTTGCCTCCTCAACCACTATCTGTCGCTTCCTGTTCACTGCTCTCAGCACCAGAGTGGTCATCTGCCGGCATACAAGGCACCTGATAGGGGAAGAGGACATAATGAGAGGTAAGAAACCAACTGAGAGCCGGTGGCATCAATGTGCTGGCATACCTGCGACGAGGCACCTGCAGAAGTAATCAATAAACCTCAGAATTCGAAACAACTAATTGTCGTTTTCCTGCGCTGAATCTAGCATACCTGGGTATTGACATGGTCACTGACTCACTGTTGCCATGCAGGGCACATTATGTCCCTGCTGCAACGTTCCCTGCTTGACGGCCCTGATATGACTGATTACTTCTTTCGGAATCAGATGCAATGCAATGCCAGTGGGCTTACCAGGGAGTTCTGCATGGAGATTTTCCGGATGCGAATGAGACCCAGAGCGTCCTTGTAGTCCGAAATCAATGTCCCACTGGCCAGTTCTGCATCGTCCTCTGCCCTCTTCAGCACAGCTCAGCACACCACCACTCAAATCCTTCGAAAATGCATGTACCAGGGAGTTCTGCACGGAGACCTTGCGGATGTGAATGAGACCCAAGGCGTCCTTGCTAGCTCTGCATTGTCCTCTATAGCACAGCACAGCACAGTACAGCATCACCCCAATCCATTCACAATGCTTACCAGGGAGTTCTGCATGGAGACTTTGCGAATGCGAATGAGACCCAAGGCGTCCTTGTAGTCCGAGATGCCACTGGCTAGCTCCGCATTGTCCTCTGCAGCACAGCACCGGCCAATCACACACAGATTTAGTAAAAATTGTGAAGAGTGCAGTTCTGGAAACAAGCGCACGAGAATGTGCATGCACACATGCACACAGAGTGGAATGTAGACTACGTGATCAGCTCCCCCATACATTCCAGTGCTTCCATTGCAGCACCACGTCTGCTGCATGCAGCAGTCTCAGCAGCACGTGTGGAGGAAGAAGCACACATTATTGCTCTACAGCCCACGCTAGCATGCACCACGCATGTTACACTTGAATGCACACGACATATTCTGTTGCACCCCATTCACCAGGCCCCCCCATACCTTCCAGTGCTTCCATTGCCAGCACCACATCCGCTGCATGCTGCTGTCTCAGCAGCACGTGTGAGCGAATCAGGCACTGGGAATACACACTTCATGCATTCATGTTCCCACCCCATTCACTACCTCGCCCCCACCTTCCAGTGCTTCCATTGCCAGCACCACGTCCGCTGCATGCTGCAGCCTCAGTCTCAGCAGCACATTCGAGAGCAGCACACACTACAAATGTACATACACCTGCAAGCATGCTCACCATGTGCTGCACCCAAGGTGACTTTTGAGTCGACTCAAAAGTGGCCTCTAAGTGGGGCTCGATTGGAATGTACATACACCTGCAAGCATGCTCACCATGTGCTGCACCCCATTCACCATCTGCCACCTACCTTCCAGAGCTTCCATCGCCAACACCAAGTCCGCTGCATGCTGCAGTCTCAGCAACACGTGTGGGGGTATAACTCCTTCATCTCTAGGAATTGTTACAAGGACTGTAACGGGCAAAGTGCGAACACAGCCTTTCAACCACTGCAGCCATGCAAGTACCTGCCAGGTCTGCAGGGTTGGAAAGGGAGGAATTGGAGAACAACCGTTAGAGCTATATAAATCAATCCAATTCAATCAAACGAGAAACTTTCTGCGACCAACCCCGCCCCTATTTCTTTGCTGGGCTCACCTACGCATCATCTCCTGACAGCCGCAATGAGGGAGGAGCTCCCAGAGAATGCATTTTTGAAAAGTAAAAGAAGGTGTCTGAACTCACTAGGGGCATATGATCCAGACCCACCAGCGCATCATCTCCTGACAACAGCAATGATGGAGGAGCTCCCAGAGAATGAACACCAATGCGACCCACCCTTCCTCCCGCCTCTCCGCTCCCCCCACCTCCTCCTCCTCCCACACCCCTTAAGCCAGCTCCTGTAGACCCACCAGGTGCAGAGGAAGCAGCATCTGCTGGAACGTTGGAATCAAGGGACGACAGGAACCCTGACACACGGCCAAACAAGTCTTGGGTGAAACCTGACGTTGCTCCAGAGTCCCCATTCTGCGCCAGCTCTTGCTGTGTGCAGCTGCCTCCTGTCCCTGCCGTTAGAGCATCAACCCAGAGAGGCACACACGTGCACAGCTGCTGCGCATGCCTTAGCGACGGCCGGGACAGTGGTGTGCGGAGGTCAAACTCGGTGCAGTACGGTACAGACGCACCTGCTGCCCCTCCTGATCCCACTCCAGTGAACTGGGGAGCCAAGTGCTTATACTGCCATGCTATTCTCAACCCATCACCCCCTCCTCCCCCATCCCCCACACTTTCTCCCCTTCCGACACCCCCTGCTCTTCTCTCCTCCTGCGACCAACCCAGGCCTTGAGGCTCGGAAAGCCCTCCCGGACCTGCCCGGCCAACCGGACCTGCGAGCGCTCCCGAACCTGCCTTTCCCTCGGCTGGCGCCGGAAGCGTGGCGAGAAAGGCTTGGGGATCGGGGAGGGGTGAGAGGAGGAGGAGTGGGTGGGAGTGGGAGAGGCCTTGAGAGAGGAAGTAGCGGAGGAGAATGAGGTGGAGGGGTGAGAGCGAGTCTTCTAGTAATAGGACGATACCGCCCACTGGGTATCCCCCGCCTACGGCTTGTGGTTAAATGGATCGAGACGCACGGGTGAAGGGGAAGAGGAGGTAGAGGCGGGCGAACATGAAGGGACGGAGAAGGGGTGATGGAGAGAAGGAGAAGCAAAGGCAGGAGAAGCGGAGGAAGGAGAAGCGGGGCAGTTTGGGGGAAGAGGGGAGCATGGACCGGTTAAGGAAGGCACAGCAGGTTGGTTGGACAATGGTGCTTGGGAAGAGAGAAGAACTGCATGGGAGGAGAGGAGAGGTGCATAGGGAGAGAGAAAACGTGCAAAAGGCGGAAAAGGTAACAATCCAGCTTGACAATTCCAGGGTCACTCTGGAGAACTCCCAGAAAGGTTGACAGGTAGAGGGGGGGTGAGGGGGATATGATCGAGGCCAGCGAGGCCTGACGAGAGATCTTTTAGAAGTCTAAAAAACCACTCGCACGGACTCGGACGGGAAGACTGAAAGGTCGCAAGGCTGAGAAAAAAAAGGGCCAGTAGGGAGGGCGAGGCGGATATGATCGAGGCCAGCGAGGCCTGACGAGGTGACCAGCCGAGCTCCAGCCGCGAATTTCGTCCCGGGAAGCGCAAGCGTCGCTGCTCTGCTTCCTGCCGTGCCTTCTGTAACGCCTGCTGTGGATTCCGTGATACCTCTGCTCCCTGTGGTTTCTGTGGCAGATCCTGCACGAAACGCGCTACCCGCTCTTCCGGCCGCCGCTATCCCCGTCGTCGCGGGGCGTCCTCGGCGAATGAAGCTACTCGCGGCGGCCATGGCGAATCGTGGATGAGTAGATTGTAAGATGCTAACGGATTCAGCGCCGCGACTCGCCTAGTATTGCTAGGGAATGATCGCCCTCAGCTGAAAATGTATGCGGCTGTGCGCGAATTGAAGACCCAATCCGGTAACTATATGCAGTGGAACAACAGTTACATGGAAATTATTATTTTCAATGGTGACAAGTGTGCAGCCTGAACTGCCCATACCATACTCAAGCTTGATAAAGTTCCTACAAGCCAAAGAGTCTCTAATACGGAAATGAACGAATGGTCAGGATAAGTAGAACCTCAAACAGAGCTGAAACATGCATGTTAGACGAGGGAAAAAGAGGAATATTTTTTATGCTTGGTTCCGTAATACTAAATAATTTGCTACCCTATACATCCACTAAGGAATGACCTGCTACACCTCAAATAATGAATAAGTGGGGCTCGCACTTGCACCATCAAACCTACGCATTATGCATTGACAGCATGAACTGTGATGCACATATCGGGAGAGAACAAACGAGCCACTTGCTGTACGTCCCTCAGAGTGACCTCCTCAATGCTCTGCACCTCGTTTGTCACCCAGAGACTATGCATTGACAGCATGTGCTGTGATCCGCATATGAGAGAACAACAAACCAGCCACCTGCTGCACGTCCCTGGGAGTAACCTCCTCAATGCTTTGTTCTGTACCTCCTTTGTCACCCAGAGACTATGCATTGATGGCATGCGCTGTGATGCGCATATCAGGGGAGAATAACAGCCGTGCCACCTGCTGCACGTCCCTGGGAGTGACCTCCTCGATGCTCTGCACCTCCTCTCCTCCACCAGCACTTCCAACTGCCCCTAGAACATCTTGCTCGGTGCTCCCTTGCGCTCTAAGCATTGACAGCATGTGCTGTGATGCGCATATCAGGGGAGAACAGCAGCCGTGCCACCTGCTGCACGTCCCTGGGAGTGACCTCCTCAATGCTCTGCACCTCCTCCACTAGTGCCTCCCATCTGCCCGCCCGGGTAGAGTATTCACACAGCACTCGCGCCAGACCGGAATTGCTGCCTAGGAGCTCCTGTTAAGACAGGCAAAATCAATGGGCGAGGGGCACAGAGAGAGGGGGGAGAAGAAAGAAGAAAGCGGGGAGAAGGAAGCAGGGAGACAGGCGTGAGTCGGTAGAGGGAAATGATACCAAAGAGTGACGTCCCTTCTTACACACGTCCCTGGGGGTGACCTCCTCAATGCTCTGTACCTCCTCCACTAGTGTCTTCCATCTGCCCGCCCTGGTTGAATACTCAGCACCCTTGCCAAGCCTGAATTGCTGCTCAAGAGCTCCTGTTAAGAGAGGGAGAAGAGAAGAGCGAGGGGCACAGAGAGGAGGGGGGGAGGGGGGGAGGACGAAGGGAGGGAGACAGGCTTGAGTCGAAACGGGGCCTTTTGAGTCGATTCAGAAGTGATAGCGTGTCGGATGTGGGAGTGACCTCCTCAATGCTCTGCACCTCCTCCACCAGAGCCTCCCATCTGCCCGCCTGCACACCCGCGCCAAGCCTGCATTGCTGCCTAGGAGCTCCTGTTTAAGACAGGGAGAAGAGGAGAGTGCAGGACACAGATAGAGATGGGAAAAGTAAGAAGGAAGACAGGCTTGAGTTGGTAGGGGCAAGTGATAGTGCCAGGACAGAGAAGACAGGCCAAGCCTGAATCGCTTCCCAGAAGCTCCTGTGTGGAGAGGGAAGGAAGACGGGACACTCGACGGGTGGATGGTCGGGGGACACTCGACGGGTGAATTGTCGGGGGACACTCAAGCGAGCTCTGCTGGATACCCAATGAGAAATATTTCTTTATTTTAATTAAATCTTCTTTTTCTTTTGTTGTCTCAAACTGGCGAGGAAAAAGCAGACTCACAAGGAAGCCGACTCGGAGAGACTTGCGGACCCGAGCGAGGTCGCTTTCAGGCACGCGCGTGTCGGCCATGTGCTTTTCAGTCCACCCACAAGCGTTCTGAGCCAACGCATACGACAGAGCAACGCGGCGAACTTACAAGAAAGCCGACCCGCAGGGACTTGCGGACCCGAGCCAGGTCGCTTTCAGGCACGCGCGTGTCCGCCATGTGCTGCAGCTGCTCCTGCAGTGCTGCTGCCACTGCATCAGTTGTGCCGCCTGTGGGAAATCGCAGGGGGTTGGGATTGAGAAGGGGAACAAGAGTCAGTCTCAGGCACGCGTGTGTCGGCCATGTGCTGCAGCTGCTCCCGTAGCGCTGCTGCGACCGCATCGGTGGTGCCACCTGTGGGGCAACGAATGGCACACACACAGAACATTGCAGGCAGTTTGAGACGTGAGGCTAGGCGTAAGGGCACGCGCGTGTCTGTCATGTGCTGTGGCTGCTCCTGTAACGCTGCTGCGGCCGCATCGGTGGTGCCGCCTGTGGGATAATTGGGAGAGTGGGGAGAAGGACGAGAGCAATGTAAGTGCTGTTTTGAGACGTCTCAAAACAACACTTTTAACAATTGGGAGAGTGGGGAGGATGAGAGCAAAGTAAGTGTGAGGTCACTCTCAGGCGCGCGTGTGTCGGCCATGTGCTATAGAGTGGGGTAATGACATGCAGTGGAGAGTGGGGCACATGGAAGCACGGTACATACACAGGTGCATGGCATGACATTAACATCATACGATATTAAATGCACAGAGGGGCGCAGCATGGGATGGGTAGTGCATGTGCGACGAAGGGCGTGGTATGGTATCATGTATCATGCGTCGAGACCAGAGGGGTTGAGTTTTGAGGCTCCTCGAAACTCAACTCAATGCACGCGGATGTATAGTGCATGTGCGAAGAAGGGCGTGGTATGGTAACAGGTGTCCAGACCAGAGGGGTTTCGATTCGAGGTGACTTTTGAGTCGACTCAAAAGAAGGGCGTGGTATGGTATCATGTGTCCAGAGGGGTTTCGCATGGTGTCATGTGGGTAAAGGGGCAGGGGCATGGTGTCATGTGGGTAAAGGGGCAGGGGCATGGTGTCATGTGGGTAAAGGGGCAGGGGCATGGTGTCATGTGGGTAAAGGGGCAGGGGCATGGTGTCATGTGGGTAAAGGGGCAGGGGCATGGTGTCATGTGGGTAAAGGGGCAGGGGCATGGTGTCATGTGGGTAAAGGGGCAGGGGCATGGTGTCATGTGGGTAAAGGGGCAGGGGCATGGTGTCATATGGGTAAAGGGGCAGGGGCATGGTGTCATGTGGGTAAAGGGGCAGGGGCATGGTGTCATGTGGGTAAAGGGGCAGGGGCATGGTGTCATGTGGGTTAAGGGGCAGGGGCATGGTGTCATGTGAGCAGAGAGGCATGGGGTGTTACCGAGAGGAGGGAAGGCGGAGAGCAGGAAGAGACTGGGGCGCTTATCTCCGGGGTAGGTCTCTGTGGCACTGGCTGAGAGGGCCTTGCCTGGCAGCACTAGGTTCTGACAGGTTGGGGGGAGGAGGGAGGAGGGGCGAGAGGAGAGGAGAGGGAGGTGAGAAAGGGAAGAGAGGAGAGAGGAGGGGTGAGGGGGGATAGCTGAGACGGGAGTGAGGAGAGATGACAAAGACAGAGTTGTTGGCACAAGGAAAAGATTGTTCAGACAAACGAAACAACAAATGAACGAGAAAAAAAAGCCAACAAACAAACAAAAAAACTAGGAAGCGAGAGAGCGAGTGATATTAACGGAAGGACGGATCTCACTTTGTAGAGGCGGGAGGAGCGAGAGCCATAGAGCAGAGAGCTGATTACAGAGATGACCGGATCGTCCACCGAGGATGAGTAGGGGCGGAAATAGCCTGCATGCATATGCACACCATGCACATGCAGATATGTAAATAGTGTGCATTATAAGAGGTCAGTCACTAGAAAAGAAACAACATATGCGTCTATTGTGTGCCCCACATGCCATGCCAGGGGGATAGAGGCAAGTGGAAGAGGAGAGGGAAAAGGGGAGGAGGAGAGGTGATTGGGAATCTGCTCGACAACCACAGGGTGTTTTACCCTCGAAATACAGCGGGTTGGCACCCACGCTCATTCTCATCTCCCTCTCCTCCCCCACAGCAGCAGCAGCCATTCTCGCCGCCTCCCACCCCTCTTCTCTGCTCCCTGATCGCCAGGCACGAGAGGCGGAAGAGGAGGAGGAGGAGATGGGGTTGAGAGAGGGAGTGGTGGAGGAGAGAGGAGGGGAGGAGGAGAGAGGGAGTGGGAAAGCCGAGGCGAGGAGGAGAGGAGAGGAGGAGGAGGCGAGGGAGAAGGGGAGGGCTAGGATGGGCTCTGAGGGAGAGGTGATGGGCTGCCACGGTGCAAAGTACTTGGTTGCTAGCCGCTCCACCTCTGCTGCTGACACATCCCCCACCTGCCATGCATCCAGGCAAGCAGACAAACAACCAGCCAGATGCAAGAAGGGAGAAAGGGAGGGAGCTGGGTGGGATGGGTTGTGAGGTGATGGGCTGCCAGGGAGCCAAGTACTTAGTACTTGGTGGCTAGCCTAGCCGCTCCACCTCTGCTACTGACACGTCCCCCACCTGCCATGCATCCAGGCAATCAAACAATCAGTCAGGAGGCGAGGGAGAAAGGGAGGGCTGGGATGGGTTGCGAGGGAGGGGTGATGCTGCCAAGTTGAAGTACTTGGTGGCTAGCCTAGCCGCTCCACCTCTGCTACTGACACGTCCCCCACCTGCCATGCATCCAGGCAATCAAACAATCAGTCAGGAGGCGAGGGAGAAAGGGAGGGCTGGGATGGGTTGCGAGGGAGGGGTGATGCTGCCAAGTTGAAGTACTTGGTGGCTAGCCTAGCCGCTCCACCTCTGCTGCTGACACATCCCCCACCTGCCAAGCAACCAGGCAAGCAACCACCCGAAAGGGAAAAGATTTGACTACCACACATGCAGCAAGTGGGTTCTAGGTTATGCCATGTCATCGTGCCATGCCATCAGGCCATGTCATGCATGCAGTTACATACCATGAAGACACACAATTACGCAGAGGCATGGCACTGCATGCTCTGTAACCACGGCTCTCATGTACCGCGGTAACCCGGTTACACTGGATGATTTAGTCGACTAAAAAATCGGTCTATTACACAAACCACGGCTCGCATGTGCCGTGGTTACACAGAGGATTTCATACCACCGCGCATGTGAGCTTGTCAGGCGTGTAGTGCTGCTGAAAGAACGCCTCCACCTCCTTCCTTCCTAAGCGATCGAAATCAGACGCTGGCAGAGACGGGGAGAAAGAGGGAGAGAAGAGAGGGGGAGCAGGCACAGGGCAGGCAGGCAGGCAGGTCAACAATAAGTCTTTATCATCGACACTACACAACACTACACAACACTACACAACACCACACAACACTACAGGATACACCACACTGAGGTACAACGCCACATGGGTACAGCTGCGGAGCAATGTCGTGTGCCATAGTAACGAGGTGACTTTTGAGTCGACTCAAAAGTCACTTTATCATCAACACTACACAACACTACAGGACGCGGCACTGAGGTAGAACGCCACATGGGTACAGCTGCAGAGCGGAAATATCTACCCATGTACATGAATACATCTAATAATGAGTACACTTTTGTAGACACAATAAGGGACGTACGGTATCCAATGGTGGGGCGTCCGTAGGGGCTGTGGGGAAACGCCCGCTGAGCAAAGGCTTCTGTGAAGCGGCCGTAGGGCGTGTTGTCAATGCGCAGTCGCCTCTCCTCCCTCACCACCTGGCGTGGTGGGGTTTGGTGTGTGTGATTAGGTGGAGGTGCAATGTGGTTGAGTGCGGTGCAGCAAAGCTGACTTGCGTTTATTGGCTCTACTGCGGGGAAACGCCTTCTGAGCAAAGGCCTCTGTGAAGCGGCCGTAGGGGGTGTTGTCAATGCGCACGCGCCTCTCCTCCCTCACTACCTGATGCGGTGGGCGCAGTGCGGTGCAGCGCGGTTGACATGGGTGCATTCTTACTGCGAGGTAAGGGCCACATGGGTTCATTCCTGCCTCATCCCATTTCTCCACACCCACACTCCTCCCACCTACTGCATTCTCACCTCCTTCTCACTGTACAGCTCGAGAAACGCAGGCGCCCGGAACCGGCCGCTCTCGAACCGCTCTAGACTCCTGGTCACCCCACACCTTCATTACCTTTCCACCCCATGCCTTACCACCCCCTCAAACCCCCCTCGACGCATTCTCACCTCCTTCTCACTGTACAGCTCTCGGAACACAGGCGCCAGGAACCGGCCGCTCTCAAGGGCCATCCAGAGCTCGAGCTTGTTGGCTGGCAGGGAGACAAAGTACTCTGTGGGGAAGGGGTGAGGGAAGGAGGGGGGGGAACAGAGAGACAAGTTGAAAGCTGAAAGTTGTGGGGAAAGCACAGTCTATGAAAGGAACCGGCCGCTCTCAAGCGCCATCCAGAGCCCAAGCTTGTTGGTGGGCAGGGAGACGAAGTACTCTGGTGGGAGGGGACGAAGGAAGGCATGGGGAGAAGGGTGAGATGGGTTATATCCGAGCGTGGGAAGAGGAGGAGGGGACGCGCGGGGACCGCAGTGTTGAAGCAAGGAGGCAGCCGCTCTCAAGTGACAAGCGCCATCCAAAACTCAAGCTTGTTCTCAGGCCATTCTCCCTCTCCTCGCTTTCTCACGTGCGGAATCCTGGCTGGTGCTCGCGTTGAGCCCCATGCCCCCTTTTCAACCTCAAGGGTGCCTCTATAGCCATCCTACTTTCCTAACCCTTCCCCTTCCCCCCCCACCCATCCACACACGTGTGGCATCTTAGCTGGTGGTTCCATTGAGCCCCACGCCCCCTTCCCGACTTCATAGGTGCCCCTCACACACCCTTACAACCCTGCCACCCTCCCTTTCCTTTCCCCTATCTGTTCCCACTTTCTCCCCTCGCACGCACGTGTGGAGTCCTGGCTGGTCGTCGCGTTGAGCCCCACGCCTCCTCATCAACCTCCCTCTCTCTCCCACATACTCCTCTCTCTCTAACCCTTCTTCTCCCCCCCCCACACACGCACGTGTGGAGTCCTGGCTGGTGGTCGCGTTGAGCCCCACGCCCCCTTCCCGCGACACCAGGGCGCCAAACGCGTTTGGCACAGACAGTTCCGCGGCCTGCTGCTGCAGGCGAGCCTGGAAGCCAGCAGAGGAAGGGCAGCGTGGGACAGAGAGTGGGGCAGAGTGGGGCAGAGTGGGGCAGAGTGGGGCAGAGTGGGGCAGAGTGGGGCAGAGTGGGGCAGAGTGGGGCAGAGTGGGGCAGAGAGTGGGGCAGAGTGGGGCAGAGTCGGGCAGAGTGGAGGAGAGTGGAGGAGAGTGGAGGAGAGTGGAGGAGAGTATTATTATCAATTCTGAGACTATCCTTCAGCATGTGGACTCAAGCTTTCCTCCTCTAGCCTCTTGACCATGTCCTCTGCTGCTCCCTTTTCGAGTGAACTCACAAGACAAGAAAGACAAAGACTCGAGAAAGAAAGAAGTTGGAACTGAGAGGGGGAGGGACGTTGGAAGAACCAACCAGCTCACAGATTCCTCTTCCAACCAGCCGCTTGACTGTGCTGTGCCCTCTGCTATGCTTGTGCTGTATCACATTCTAGAAATCCTAAAAGCGACTCAAAGGCTCGCACACCGAAAAATCCATTTAAAGAAAGAGATGGAACTGAAAGAGGGACGGGAGGGGAGTTGGAAGCACCGCACTCACAAATTCGTCCTCCAGGCGCTTGACCGTGCCCTCTGCTGCCCCTCCCTCTCTCGCCTCCTTCAGCCCGTAGAACGCTGCCGGGGATGGTGGGAAGCGGGGAACAGGATGGAGGGCGAGAGGGGGAAGGGGATGGGAGGGAGCTCACGGGGTGGTGGCAAGTCGGTAGGTGGTTTTGAGACGGACAGAGGCAGTGCTTCCTGCGACACGTTTCAGCACAATATTACGTCTGGCTCGTTCTACCAATTCTTTACTTTCAGAATGGTTGTTTGATATTGAAAAGCTCTACCAATTTGAATTCATTTTAGAGCTCTCTCTACACTCACCCTCGTCTACAAGCTCCAGTAGCCGAGCCTCCTTTTGAGCATCTCTCGTTCCTATAACGGGGGTGCCTTTAAACGCCAGATGTTCCAATAGATGCGCCACGCCCGTGCACCCATCCGCCTCGTCTGCCGCCCCCACGTCCGCGTACGTGTGGCACGAGACAATCGGCGCCGCCCGCCGCTCCACTACAATCCAACGCATGCCGTTCGCAAGCATGAACGTGCACACCCGCTCCGATAAGCTATCGAGCGCGGATCCCACACTCGTCCCCGCTCCCCCGCGCCCCTTCCCCTCCACTCCCCCGCTCTCTTCCCCCTCCACAAACCCTAATCCGTTTCCTCCCCTCCAACTCCTCGCTCCTGGTATCACAAGCCCTGCTGCTGCTGCGCGTTCAGCAATCCCCCCTGCAGCAGCAGCCGCAGCGGCAGTTGCGAGAACCTGACGCCTCGTAACTGCCATTCCCTTACGAACCTTCCCCTGCTGTTCGGACCGCCTCTCGCGCTCCTCCGACCGATTCTCACGCTCCAACCGTCGCTCATTTCCCTCTCTGTTCGATTCTCCGCCGTTCTTTAAGCTTGCGCTCCTATTTTTTACTCTCATTCCGCCGTTTCTCTCCGCTAACCGCACCTTCTCCCCCCTAACCTCTATATCTCCGCGCGCTATCTCCTCCACATGCTCTTCCGGCTGTTGGCGGGAAGCAGCGTGCGCGACAAAGGTGGGCGGGCTAAGAGCGGATCGGCGCAATGGCGCGCGGGAAACGATGCGGAGGGAAGCGACGCGGCTGGATAACGGGACTATGGCGAACGCAGAAGACGCGGAGAAACTAGAGTTGTCCGCCGCGCCAGTTCCGCTGTAACGGAGACGCGGCGACGCCGCGTGAAACGCATACGCGGCAAGCTCCGCGGAAGCCGCCATGGCTTCTCCGGAGGAGGCACGCGGACGAGAGGAGCTAGACAGGTGACGGCGGTGAAGTGGAGAAGGACGTAGCAGTTCTGGTGACCATAATCACTGGCGGGACCAATGCAGCTTCAAATCCTTTAGCGACTAGCACCGAGCAGTACCGCTCAGAACTCAGACAAATGACCGACACAAAACAAGACCTCAAATTTTTGCTCGTACTTTCACTGTCGTACTTTCGTACTTTTCCATTGAAGCATCAGGTCGTCCCATCTGGGTCATTTCGCCTAGCAATTTACAGAATGCACCGCTCTCGTACTGGCAATTAGCAACCGAAATGAAACCGAGACTGAACGCGTTCTGAAATCGCGGAAACAGCGATGCGACTTTGCAGTTTGTGTAACATGATGCATAATGGCTTTTATTAGAAGGTAATACTGAAGCTAGTAAAGACTTATCAAAACGCGCCTACATGTTTTGAATGAGAAAATTAGACATTTCGGGGTCTGACAGAGACCCTCCGAAGCTCGAAAATGGTGAGCATTGGGCAATAACCACAATCAAGCAGATGTGATGTTAGTGACTAAGAATGAGGGGAGTGACTACTATCAATGATGATGATGAGGGGAGACGATGATGCAATCGCTTGCACTCTTTGGCGCTCTCCCGCCATCTCCTCGCATCGCACCCATTCCTCCTATCCCTCGAATCTCGCTCCATCAAATCACCAACCGACTACTGTACCTCTGCCACCCACAAATTTATCCACTCTCCAAACCTCCCTCCAAAACCCTCGTTATTGATTCTCTCATGCATTAAGACCAAAACATAGAAGCATCCCTGTCCCTTGCATCGCAAGTCAAGCCCTCACAGCCACCTCCTGTCCTCTTCCACCTCCTCCTGTGTGCAATCCCAAAACCTTAAGCCCCTGACCGCCTGGCCAAGGTCAGCAGCTGCACTATCGCTGGGGAGGAATGGGCAGCTGGGGACGGGCCTCTAGCATCTCATACTGTAGCACGAAGTTGTCCTGAGAGTGTTGCGGGGTGGTGGGGCGGGAGGGGGGGAGGAGGAGAGCAGAAGAGAGCGGGGAAGGTTGGCATGTCAGTGTGTTATGAGAAGAGCCAAGGGCCTCAAGCATCTCATACTGAAGCACAAAGTTGTCCTGAGGATGTTGAAGTGGGGGGGGAGGGGAGGGAGAGGGCGGAGAAAGAGAGGAGAAGAGGGTAGGGAAGAAGAGTGTTATGAAAAGAGCCAAGGGCTGGGGACGGGCCTCTAGCATCTCGCACTGTAGCACCACCACGTTATCCTGAGGTGTGTGGGAAGGTGGGTAGGGGAAAGCAGGGAAGAGTGAGTAAGGGTGAACTCTCAATGTGCTGCAGACAGAAATCGATAGATGGAAATGGGGCTACGGCATCTTGTGCTGCAGCACACAGTGGTCCTGCCCCTTTTCCCACTTTCTTGCCTGTCTTTTAGGTTGACTCAAAAGTCACCTCAATAGCTGGAAATAGGCCAGGAGCATCTCGTGCTGTAGCACACAGTGGTCCTGCCCCCCTTTCTCACTTTCTTGCCTGTCTTGTGAGATCCACACCACTCACCTTCCTGCCTCCCACACGGTGGGATCAAAGAAGTGGTTGGAACCGCGCTCGTGCGTGGGGGTCTTCACCACCAACTGAGTGCATTCCTCCCTGTCCTCTGCCCCTGCCTTCCCCCACCTCAAAGCCCGCTCTCACCTCCCTCCTCTCCCCAAAACACGCACCTTGCGCCCGGTCTCCCAGACGGTGGGGTCAAAGAAGTAGTAGGAGCCGCGCTCGTACGTGGGGGTCTTCACCACGGGCTCACTGTTGGGCACGCGTGTGAACCACACTTGGTGCTCCTTGTGGTAGAACCACCCGCGGTTGCACCTGCCGGGAGGATGTACGGAGGGGTGAGATGGGTGAGATAACGCAGGGAAGGCAAGGGTGCTATGTACTGAACTTCTTGCTGTAGGCATGGTTTTTGTTTTTTATTATTATTATTCTAGGTGAACTACATTGTTTGACGCGTGAAGTGCTCCGGCTGCATGCATGTACAGGAGAGTGCATGGGTGCATAGCAGGCAGTATAATATGCCTGTCTATGCGCAAATTGTATGTGCAAGATCTGCCATGCAAGGGGTGTCAAAATATGAGATGCGAGATGAGAGATGCAAAATGTGGGATGTGAGATGGGCGATGCAATGCAGAGCACTGCACTCACAGTTCATCAGCAGAGAACAGCTGCGCCTCGTCATGCGGCATGCTGTTGCGCAGGCAGAGCAGGGAGGCATCACACACAGGAAACACAAACGCAAAAGTATGGGGGGGGAAGGGGGCGAACGACAGCATTACAGAGGAAAACGGGTGGTAAGGAGGAGGCAGGAGGCAAGGAGGAAGGGGTGGGAGGTGGGAGGACGGCGGGTCGGAGTATGAGCCATCGGCTGGGAAACAGCAGCCGTAGTGGAGGAGAGAGCGATTGGAACAAAAGCCGGTGTTGGTGGGTGGGACGAGCGTTTGTAAGGCAACATCCACCCACCCACCCATCCTCCATGGCTAACTATCATGCACTGTAACAGCGGAGCCTTTTACCAGAGCCAAAAAACCACAAAGCTCAAAGCTCAAAATTTTAAGCTCATCAAAACCCAAAGCTCAAAGACTTGGCCCTTAAGCTCAAAACGTCAACCCTTAAAAAAAATAATAAACCTTTAGAGCTCACCTGTAGAATATATAGAAGAGCGTGTCCTGCTGGAACTTCGAGAAATAGCCCGGCTGCAGTCGAGCGACGAGCGAGAGAGAAGGAGAGGGCGTGGGAAAACACAGGGCGAAAGGGGACGGTGCAGGACGGTGGGAGAGGAGGGGAATAGGAGAGGAATGAGGATGCACGGCTTGATGCTACCAAAAGAACACGGATTTAAGAAGTAGCAGCACTGACGGACCTGCAGACGAGGCATGTGTTGGATGCTGCAAGCCAGCAGGCTACTTTTGAAACGTCTCAAAATCCGCGTGTAAGTAGACGACTTTTGAGACATCTCAAAAGACCTGCAGACGGGGCACGTGTTGGATGCAGCAAGCCAGCAGGCTAAACCCTAGCTAACCTCTAATCAGGTCCCGTCCATCTAGAACTCTTTTCCACTATTTATGAGGCGCCTACACAGGCAGAGCCGGCACTGACTGACCTGAAGACGAGGCGTGGGTTGAATGTAGCAAGCCGGGAGGCTGAACTCCGGCTCAGCTCTCGTCGGCCCATCCGCCCACGGCGATGCAAACGTGCGGTACAGATTCTCCCGCGAGTTCAGATTCAGCCCGAGAGTCGTCAGATCGGTCCCCAGCGCCACCGTGGTCAAATCTGGATCGTTCATCCGAATCACACTAAGCAGCCCCAGCAGCCCGTACTTATCCGGCCCGTCTACACCCTGCTCCTTTCCTGCTCCCACCTGCCCGCTTCCTGGTTGAGCCTGCTGCTGGGGGCCCGTGAGACCAGGTGTATTGGATCGAGAACCAGGTGCCGAGCCTAGCTGCTCTCCAGCCTTACCCCCTCCCTGCCCTAACAGAACGTTTCCAGAGCCGTCCGCGTGCCGCAAACTAGATCCCTCTGCCCCCCGTGCCTGCTCGTCCTGCTGCTCCTGCTGCTGTTGCTGCTGCTGCTGCTGCTGCTGCTCTTGTTGCTGTTGCTGTTGCTGCTGCTGCTCTTGCTGTTTCTGCTGTTGCTGCTGCTGCTGGAGAGAAGGGCTAGGGCTGGCAGATCGTTGCAGGATAAGCATGGAGCTACTGGGAGCCCCCGGTGCATTCAGGGGCGGAGGGGACGAGAGCATGCGCTGATCTAGGTGCTTCAAATGCCCCCCCTGCTGCTGCTGCCCCTGCTGGTGGTGGTGCTGGTGGTACTGGTGGAGGTGGGGGTTGTCATGCAAGCTGAGGTGCTGCAGCTGCTGCTGCTGCTGCTGAAGCATGTCCAAGTGGCTTCTGATCGACCCTCCTGCGCCCTGCTGCTGCTGCTGTTGCTGTGCGGAACTGTCCTTGTCCCCTCCGTTGTCTGCGCCCGCTGCAGGATCAAGCAGCAGGCAGACGAAAGCAAGCAGGAAAGAGAGAAAGAGTCCATCAAAGGCCTCCTGGAAGCTTAAGCTCAGGCTTGCATTTACAACACCTGCACCGTACAGCAGCAGCAGCAGCAGACTCATACGCAAATATGCAAACACCATGAAAGGACACGCATGCAGACCTAGGCAAGCACAAACCCACCAGTGCGGCTGGGCAAGGCACACACACCTTTGAGGCCGGGCAGGGCAGGGAAATCCTCGTTCTGTATGCTGAATTCCGGCCCTCCCTGGTGTAGCAGCGCGTTCAATGGAGCCCCTTTCCTTAGCACCGCCGCTGCTGCCGACCCTGCACCTGAAGGGATCGCGAGCAGCACAGATGAGGGGGGGTTGACGGAGCAGGGTTGAGAGGGCTGAGGAGTGCGGGTGGAATGGTTGAAGGTTGTGCATGACAGGGTTGAGGAGTAGCCCTGAGTCGGCTGAGGGGTAGAAACAAACATCAGTTGAAGAGAACAAAGAAAACGCTCAAGGTGGCGAATGGAGCAGATAAAGCAGGTGCATCACACGAAGCATGTCTGTTCAAGTGCCTACCTGACGCCATGGCTGCACTCCCAGGCGGCCTCGTGTTGAGCGTGGGGAACTCGCTCATGTCAAACGCTGCCCCATCACCCTCTCGCTGCTCGCCTCTCCCGCCCAATTGCTCCTGATCCTGCCCTCCCTGCCTCGACTCGTCCCCCTGCTCGCCCTCCCCTTTCGACCCGTCCCGTTTGCCCTCTCCTTGTCCCTGCCCCTGCTTCTGTAGCAACAATGACCCTCCCTGCATCTGCCCCTGCCCCTGCTGCCCCTGCTGCTGCATGTGCTGCTGCTGCTGGTCGAGGAGCAACGACGATGGGCCTAGCTGCCCGTTGACTGCACCCATCTGCTTCGGCTGCTGCAACAGCTGCTGCTGCTGCTGCTGGGATTGCAGGTAACTGTTGCTGGAAAGCATGCCCGCAGGCGCACCAGCTGCATATCAGAGAGGCGAAGAAAAGAAGGCGGATTGTTGACACCAGGCAGCGGCAATCAATGCAACGCAGACTAAAAAAATCAAGGATCGACATAGCTCAGACGAAGCACTCTCGCACTCACCGCGGTTGATCATTCATAGCCATTACTTACGTCCCAGCCCGGAGACTTGAAGTCAACAAAGCAATAAATAACTGTAGCCCAAACCAAGCGGCCTCGCACTCACCGCGGTTGATCATAGCCATTACGTCTCCTGAAGGCTGGTACGTCCCAGCTTGCAACCCCTGCTGGCCCCCCTGCCCTTGCTGCTGCTGCTGTTGCTGTCCAACCCCCACCTGCTGCTGATGATGATGGTGTTGCCCCTGCGATTGCAACCCTAACGCCAACATCTGCTGCTGCTGCGCCTGCTGCTGCTGCTGCTGTCCCTGCCCCTGCCCAGAGATCATTCCTGTTCCCAACGGCCGCCCAGGCCCCTGCACGCCCACCGCACCTACACTTCCCCCCAACCCTACTGATCCCAGCGCGCGCGCTCCCCCTACCGTCGACATGCCCAGCGCGCCCGCGGGGTTCATCGCCCGAGTCAACCCTGCGCTCGCCCCTGCGCCTGCCCCCGCGGAAAGCCCCATCCCTCCGCCCGCCCCTGCCATGCTCAGAGCCCCGGGCGCGCCTAGTCTCCCTGCGGACCCCGCAATCTGAGATGGGTTCACCCCTAGACCCGCGGAGCCAATTGTTCGCTGTCCAGGCACGTTACTCATTCCGCTCATCCCGCTCATTCCGGTCATCCCGCTCATTCCACTCATCCCGCTCATTCCCCCGCCCGCTGTTGCTACTCCGGGCGCGCCTGCTCCGCCGGATAGTCCGCTCATGCTGCCGGCGAAGGGGTGGCCGCCTACTAAGCTCACTCCGCTCCCGCGGTTGGTCACCGCACCTGTGTGCGCGTGCAGCCCTGGGATCTGCTGCTGCTGCTGCTGCGGCAGCGGTGATGGCGGAGGCAGTTGGTGGATGTGGTGTGGTGGTGATGGAAAGAGGGAGTTGTTGTTATGAGGACGCGAGAGTTTTGCGTCATGAAGGGAGAGGGAGGGAGAGTGGTAGAGAGAGAGAGAGAGAGAGAGAGAGAGAGAGAGAGAGAGAGAGAGAGAGAGAGAGAGAGAGAGAGAGAGAGAGAGAGAGCCAAAACAAGAGAGAGATATAGCGAGACGCAGGCGGACGAGCACAAGGCGAGCACATGCCAGATAGCCAGCCAGTCACGAAACGCCAAGCGCGCCAATCTAACCCCACCCTCGCCTCACCTTCCCCGTGCTGACCAGTGTTTTTTACAACAACCTAAAAGCCTCCGCGCAAAACAAATTTATCCTCTCCAAACTTCCCCCCCCCCCTTCCTCCCCCACCTTCCTCACCGCCTCTTTCCCCCATTCCCCTTGCCTTACCTGCTGCAGGTTGGTAGGGAGTGCGCTGGTGCCGAACCGGCCTGCCGCCATGTTGCCTGTGGACGGAGGTTGCGCCTGCGCGGACGGCACTCCGCCCATTCCCGTGCCTCTCGTAAGTGCGTTCTGCATGCTCTGTATGCTGTACCCCGTCGCTTGCACATTGTGCAGCGATTGCAAGTTACCTGATTATATACGGAAGGTACAATAATGGAATAATGGAAGACATTTCAAGGAAGTTCTGCGTGTCCGGTGTGCTGAAGCCAGTCACCAGCGAGTGAAAGTTGCCACATGACGGAGAAGTTGTGTTGGAAAAAAAAAAAAAAAAACTGCGAAAAAAGAGACAGGATAAACTCTATGTAATTGCAAGTCCACGCCACGGAAAGAAAGAACGCGCCCACCAGACGCGTGGACGAGAGCTCAGCTTACCTCCCCATGAAACGTCCCTGGACCTGTGTGTGGTACTTGTAACTTCGCCGATTCAAAAAAAAAAAAAAAAAAAAAAAAAAAAAAAAAAAAAAAAAAAGGAGACTCAGCGTACCTCCGTGATGGAACGCTCCTGGATTTGCTGCTTGTGTCTGTGGCGCTGCAAACGATGATGCGAACTGGCGACTGGAGTTCCCCGAATCAAGCACGGCTGGTGTTGATGTGTTAAGCATCGACTGCTGCAAGGCCATAGGACAAGTCATTTTGCAATCTGTCTGTGTTAAAAAAACGCACAGAATTGCGAAAACGGCGAGCCAACAAGGAATCCGCTAGGAAAAACAAGGTTTCCAGCCAACGAATTGACAGTCTCAACCCGCGACGGAAGCGGATGCCGAGGATACGGAGGTGACCGCGAGAGTGTAGAGACATACCTCCTTGACAGAGGCATCTTGTCTATAAGGGTAGTACATTGTCGGATCAACGCTGAACATCTACCGGGCATTTCGCTTTCTTCGCAGATCCAGCTTGCCTGAACACATCCCACCAACCACTAAGCATCAGTCGACACAAAGTAGTCGTTAACCACCCAGCACCGGACGCGTGTCAAATTCCCTAACTTATGGAAACCGCTTAGCATTCAGAAACTGCGATGAGCTACCCTAGGGCGAAAAAAACCTTCAAATACTTCCGAAAATATCTAGCGCTTCGCTTCTGTCAAAGATCCAGTTTCCGACTGCTTAGTCCCACGCAAATCTGCCGTTCCGAACCGAGCTGCTCAAGGCAATCCTTCCTGTCTGTTGAACCTATACCGTAAGGACCAGCAAATACTGTACAAAGAGCTATAGGATGCCTAATGGGGACCATGAAAGGAGCAAATCGGACTCAGTCCTTCAACCATGAGGAACTGTTCGAACAGCTGTACAGGCGATTGCAGCGACGACCTTGAGTATGAGGGCTACCCTACAAGCCCGATGCAAGTTGGCTAACGATCGCGATATTAGCATGTAAATGACGGAGCGTATTTACCTAAAGGAAACACCTCAAAACCGCAGAAGCGAGCTCAGCGGCCAACTCAACTTCTTGTGACCTCGTCGCAACCGCAACAAGAAAGTCGCAACAATTAATCTCTATACGCAGAAGGTGTTATCAGATAAGGGAACGAGCGGAACGTTAGCAGTCCATATTGCGACAAGGACAAGTTGTCAATGGATACGGAGCACGGCCATGATTTGAGATGGTAGGAGGAAGAAAGGAAAAGAAGTAGAAACTGTGGGATTTGGTAACCCTAGCTTTTATCCTCACTGCTCCACAAGCAGCAATCGAAATCGCGGGTCACGTGCCACCCAAAGAAAAGAGGCGGAGCTTGAAGAAGGGGAAAGGAAGCGGAGAGGATGAGATAGGCAGGGGGGAGAAGAGGATAGCGGACGGCTGTGGATGACGGGACGGGGCGTGGGCGGGGGAAAGCGGTGTATGCGCGCGCAAAAGGCGGTTGCGGGAACAAGGCTGCGCAACAGGCCAGCTAGGGCGAAAGCTGCGATGAGTGGTCGTCAGGCTTTTGGTCAGAGGGCCTCAGCCAAACGCACATTCAAAATCCAGAAAAATGTGATTGTTGAGGAGATTCTACTAGCGAAATTCAGTCGGCGTGAAGTGTCTGAAGTGTGCAGCGAATGCTACGCTTACCCTAATCATCAACTAACAAAAACATACCGTAGTTTAAAAGTACAATTGTGGACAGTAACACAAGCTCTATTCCATTAGAAGATCCTTCACATGTAACCAACTGCTTAAAGCGACTTAAATCATGGATAAGAGACGATAAACCAAGCAGCATCCAGCAGTCATGGAAATCCAAGAGTGAAGGCGGCACCAGAGTTAGTAGGTCAGACGTCCAGCAGGAGTGGAACAAACAGGAGACAAAACAAGAATGGTGCAGTGGGAAAACGTTCCAGTCAAAATATTCCTAGCAAATATACTAGCATCAGTGGCTGGGACAGTGCACAGTTCGCAGCACACGGCACTTAAAACAGCCCTGGTGGCTGATACATTGATGGTGCACGAACTTGTCCGTTCACTGCCGAGCCAAAGCCATACTGGTCATCACTCTGTGGCCAACTCAGTGCTGCAGGACTGAGAGAGCGAGGGGCATGAAAAAAAGCATCTGAGTGAGTGAGGGGATTGCTCGGAACTGAGGCTTCTGGAAGCTGTGGAGCTTGTGCGAAACCATGAGAGTGCTGAGATGGACGAAGAGCAAATGTGCCATTGTGGCTGCTGTACCCCAGAAACTGATTGATAGGAGCTGCTGGTAGATATTCAAAGCTCCCATCAGTCTGAACAGCTTGCGACGATGGCTGAAAAGAACTGACTCCTTGAGAGAGCGGCGACTGATACGATGTAGGCAAGGAGTTGAGTGGGTCCGACAAAAATAAGGAGGACGAAACACCAGAAGTCATCCCAGAGGCGAAGGCAGCCTGCTGCTGCATTTCAGCATTGCCCAATTGCCAGTTGGTACTTTGCTGTAGTCCAGAAACACTGCTAGTAGTAGCAGCTGCAGAGACATGTGGCATTTGGTCGGCTTCAGCATCACAGACCGACCCTAAAGGAGCTTTTGTTGAAGGTGGAGGAGATGACATCTGAAGCTCAATGGTCAGCGACACCGGATTCTTGCAGATAGGGCAAAGAGCCAAGGATGGAGAGCACTTGGAACATGAACACACGTGAGAACACTCCAGAAGAAGCTGCAAAAACATGAAATTAATCAATTAGAGCTGCATTCTCAATAACACAGTTCTGTAGAGAAGATAAAAGAACTCACCACAGTGGCAGGCTGGGACTTGCAGACCACACAGCATCCATAACTAGCATCATCTGCTTCACTTGCACCTGATTCTGATTTCACACATGAAAGTTCTGTAGAGTTGTTGCCATAAGAAGAATCAGAAGGTAGATTCTGAACGGAACAGATTGGTTC